TGCCGAAAAAGCCTCACAGGACAGAACACAGCCACAAACCCCCCAGGCCTGACGGGGGTGAGCTTCTCCTCTTCATCCTCCTCATCCTCCTCCAGCTCGCCGGGCAATGAGAACACGACGAGTAACTCGTGAGACGCCGCGGCTGGAGCTGCTGGGAGAGCTGCGGCCCCGCCCCGGGCTCGGTCACTGCGGGTGCCGGGGCGCTGGGACTCGTCTGGTCGGTCAGCGCCGGCAGGCCAAGGTGGGACGGGCTCCGGCCCCCAGCCCAGGGGACGTCCCACTTGCTGGCCGCTCCCGGCCTAGAGGGCGCAGGCCACACGGCCCTCCAGGGGCGCCCTCAGCCACCCCCTCCCCTGTCTCTAACCCTCTAAATGCTCGACGGCGGAAAGGTTTTATAATTTTAAATTATTACTGCTCTGAAATAAATGGACGTTGTAGCTCACACGCGGCCATGCATGATCTGTGGACGGACGGGTGCAGCTGCTCCACCAGGGCCGCGATGCCGCCAGGACAGGCCGTGAGGGTCCCCAGGCTGCCTCCACTGCCCGGAGTTTGGAGGGCTCGGACCACGAGGATGACCAGCAAAACCCAAGAACAAAACTGCTTGGACAGACGTTTTTTAATGGAGAAAATGTGTATCTTGGAAGCTATTTAAAATACACCACTTAAAAAGAGAAGCAGGTGACTTGGCGTCTTCCTTCTGCGCCACTGTGTCCCAAGGGGGCCAAGCTGCCTGGCTCGCTGGGGGTTTGCGTGTCCCTGTAGGGGTCTGCGCCTGCTGTGGGCCCAGGAGCTGAGCCATGCCCCCACCTAGGCTCAGCTGGGAAGGTCCAGGCACCGTCACATCCACGATGACAAACTGAAAACTTGGAAGTCTGAACTGGCAACGTCCAGCAAGGAGATGGCAGCATGTCACCAAGTCACACAATTTCGAACAGTGAAAATGAGGCTGCACTGAACAGGCAGCCACCCCCACCTCTTGCGTCCCATCTCAGGGGGTCCCCAGCTGGGTCTGCACAGCGCAGCTTTGCAGCCAGGGTGGGCGGATGCTGGCCGTGGGCACAAGCCAGCCCCAGGCAAAGCTGGCGGGCATGGGGACCTGCACGGGGCTGGGCAGTGGGTTTGTCTCCTGTGGCCTGGATGTCAGATGGTCTAGACGGATAAAGGAGCCCCCCATCCGCACCCCCCACGCCAGCCCTGTCCGCAGCTCGCCCCTCTCAGGGGCCGCCCTGGTCTGCGGTGGGCACAGTGCACTTGCTACCACGTCCTGGCATGGTGCTGTGCGCACGTTCGCAGCGTCTGCCCCACACCAGGCTGTGTCCGCACCTTGGAGGTGTCTGCTCGACCCACTTGCTGGTGACCTAGGTTCCGCCCATCCCTGGCCCTGCACTTGCTCATTTCTGGGTTTTTTGCTACCGAGACAAAGCCCCGGCAAACCATTCTGGGAGACACCATCGAGGCTCCAGAGCTGGAGAGAAGCATTCTTGATGTTGACAACTGCAGCCAGGGCCGCCTCTGGGGCTGTGGCCCTCAGAGCGCCGACCCCCAAAGATGTCCACGTCTTCATCCGCAGAACCTGTGGGCACCTTACAGGTGACGCACCTGGTGCCCTGCAGATGAGACTAAGGTGAGGACATTGAGACGTGGAGGTTACCCGGGGTTATCCTTGGCTTGGGGACATCTGATCTCCAGGACTGTGAGAGTCAGTGTTTTAAGCCACCGAGTCTGTGGTGACTTGTTCCAGCAGCCAGAAGAGGCCACGCGGGCCACTGCCACAACAGGTGACTCACGTGAGCCTGTTTCCCACTGGAGAGCGGCAGCTTTGAGTCGCACAGTGCTAGGCAGTCGAGGCTCCCGTTCTGCGTGTTCTAGGGAGAAGGCCCGGAGGAGGGTCTGTGGCCACAGGGCGTGTGTCCCTCCTGTGGGGAGGCCAGGAGAGCAGGGCCCCAACAGTCACACCCAGCCGTGCACAAGCCTCGGACCCAGGACTGCAGGGACCCCACAGGGCCCTCCGCCGCTTGGCTGTCGTCTCTAGAGCGGAAGTACAGTTTGCTACCTTTCGCAGTTGGCTTTTCCTCACTCCGTGTAATTTCCTGGGAGGCACCGTGCCCTGCGTGCACCCCCTCGCCACCGGGTGGCGCTCTGGCGTGGGCGTGCCGCGGTCTGTGACCTCCACCTCAGAAGGACGCTGGCGGTTCCCAGTTCTTGGCTGCGGTGGGAGAAGCTGCCAAGAACGTGTGTGTCCAGGTGTTTGTGTGAACAGAGAGTCCATTTCTCTGGGATATAAATGCCCAGAAGTGCCACTGCTGGGGCGGACGGTAGCTACACATTTAGTTTGAGAAGAAACTGCCAAACTGTTAGATCCGGCACTGCGTCGTGTTGCCGCCTGTGCCGTGTGAGGGATCCAGTTTCTCCACGTCCGCGGCAGCAGCGCGGGTGTCAGCAGTTTTATTTTAGCTGCTCTGGTGCTCGCTGTGCAGCCCCAGATGGCAGAACTCCAGTGGCAACGCCCCTTCCCTGCTCCATGCAGGGCAGAGTCCGGGGGTCCACGAAGGCAGGATTACCCTGGCCACTGTGGACCTTGGGTCGTCTGGGGCCCTGTGGGGGCTGAGCCGTAACCCTGACAACCACAGGTGTCCCCGCATTTCACAGGGTCCCCTGGGGCAGGATCCCCGGTCTCTGCAGAGTGAGCCAGGGGCTTTTCCCCACCCCAGGCTGCCCAGCACCCCGCCAGCAGGTGCCTCAGCCCCACTCTGCTTTCCGCATTGTAAGCGGGGGTGCGGGGGTGGGGTGGCTGGATCGGAGCCCCGACCCATCCCCAGGGGCTGTCACCTCACCAGGTCAGCCCTCCCCTGTCCCGGGGGCAGATGGCTTCATCACCCTATGTGTGCAGGAGGAGCCCAGGCCCTCAGCTCCCCCTTCCTTCTGGCTGGAGTTGGAGCCCCGGGGGCTGCAGGGAGAGGAGGGCACTCGGCACATGGTTCCTGCCCCCCACTCCCCGGCCTCCTCCCGTCCCAGGAGAACCCCGGAGCTCTGAGGACCATTTTGTCATTAAAACAGTTCCAGGCGTTGGGTGTGTGTGTGTGTCCTGCTGCTGCTGTAACAAAATGACCACAAACTTGATGGCTTAAAACATTTATTGTCTGACAGTTCTGGAGTCAGAAATCTGACATGGGCCTCACTGGGCTAAAATCAGGGCATGGCAGGGCCGGTCCCTCCTGGGGGCTCCACGGGAGAACCCATCTCCCACCTTTCCCAGGATCTAGTGGCCACCCGAGTCCCTCGGCTCGGGGCCCTTCCTCCCCCTTCAGAGCCAGCAGCGCAGCATCTTCCAGTCTCTCTGCCTCCAACCCCCCTGCCTCCTCGTGTGAGGATGCTGTGCTGACACTGGGCCCCCGGGTCATCCAGGGTGACCTCCCATCTTAAGGTCCTTAATCCCAGCGGCAAAGTCCCTGTGTCTGCAGGAGGTAACATACCTGCAGGTCCCAGGATCAGGACGGGGACGTCTGTGGCCTGTCGCCTTGCCTGTGTGGTGCCTGCGTCACCGTCTCTGCCTGCTCCGGCCTCGCCCACCCTCCTCCTCCACCCACTTCACACGTGGCCTCAGCCCCAACTTCCCCTTGACGTGTTCCCACCTCCGCGCCTTGGGCTGGCTGGGCCCCACCTGGAACGCCCTTCCCAGGCCTCTGACAACCGAATAATCCCACCCAGCGGGTGCCTTGCGGGGTCCTAACCCCCGAGCTCCTGACTGGACACGGGGATACCGACTGGGGACTCCCTGAGAGCCAGCCTCACGTGTGGGCCCCACTGTGTCCCAGCAGCAGGCACTCAATGAAAGAACAGGCGCCAGTTCAGGCCTGCGCCTTGCGAGTCTGGCAGAGGCCCCTCCCGGCCTCATGGGGCCTCAGGAGACCAGGACGGGCAGGAAGTGGGTGGACAGGTGGTGCCGCCTCGTCCGGCTGCCAGGCCGGGGGGACCCCCTCCTGTCCAGTGCCAGGAACATGGGCTGGCCACGGTGGCGCCAGTGGAGTGCCGCATAGGTGTTGTAGCCGTTCTCCTCAATGCGCTCCTGGAACCTGCAGTCGACAGTGTAGACCCGCTGCGGGGCGGGGCGTGAGGCCAGTGGACCCTCCTGCCACCCGCCAACCCCAATCCCCTGCTTGTCCAGTACTCACCGACCCATAGAGGTGGCCCTGGCGGTCCATGGCCACGTAGAAGCCCGAGTGTACGGCCTTGATGACCACGACACCCACGTGGACAGAACGGATCTCGATGATGCCTGCTGGGCGGGGGCAGGGACTGGTCAGGGCAGGGCCTTGGCCCCTGGGCCCCTCCACTGGCCACTGCCCTTCGTTCATCCCTGGGCACCTGCTGGTGGCCACCGTGCTGACCGCAGGACCCTCGGGGGCCAGGACAGATGCCCGGGAGCTTCCCCCAGGCCACGCCAGGGGGAACAGCCAACACGAAGGCTGAGAGGGAAGACTCGCCCCTACGGCTGGAGGATGCCGGGGAGCCGAGGCACGGTTTGGAGAGGGGAGGCCCCTGATTAGGTCAGTGTCCTCATCCGTGCAATTCAACCCATGTACAGCATCCAAACCCGGGGTCAGGGACCCCAGATGCCCAGTCAGACCACCAGGGGCAAGAAAACTGAGCCAAAGTTCAGGCCCAGAGGGTTCAAACTGCAGGTGCAAGAGGTGGTGGGTGCCTGCCCTGGACACGCTCTGATAACAAGAATTAACGACAGCAGGAGTTGGAGACCAGCCTCAGCAAGAGCGAGATCCCATCTCTACAAAGAATAGAAAAATTAGCCGGGCATGGTGACGCACTGACAGTCCCGACTACTCGGGAGGCTGAGGCAGGAGGATCGCTTGAGCCTAGGAGTTGGAGGCTGCAGTAAGCTGTGATGACACTACTGCACTCCAGACTGGGTGACAGAGTGAGACTCTGTCTCAAAAAAAAAAGAAAAAAGGATAGGACAACAGCCGGGCAGCCTGGCAGTGGACACACGGGCCCCCACCACGTGCAGTTATGGGGTGTTCACAGATAGCACATTCGGGTCGTCGGTGACCACTAGCGTGCTGGAGGGCATTCCACACCCTCTGCACCCACTGAGCCCACGCAGCAGCCCCAGGTGGGAGGTGCTGCCTGCGTCCACTTTTCAGAGGGGCAAGCTGAGGCCTGGGAGTGTCAGAGCCAGACGTGGACCCCACACGTCCATCGGCAGCCCTGGGAGAGCCTTGCCCCTCTCGGAGCACACAGTTTCCCGTCCGGCAAGCACCCTCTGGTCCCCGGGCACTGGGGCCTCTTCTGCAGTCCAGGTCTTGCCCTCCAGCCTTCAGCCTGGATCTGGTGACCCGAGCCCCAGGTGGCCAGCCACGTGCCCTCCCCAACTCGCTCACCCAGGCCATTCCTAGGTCAGGCACCCAGCTCCTCCTGGCCAGCCCCCTGCCCTACCCTGGCCCCACCCAAGCCACAGCCCCCCAGAGCAGCCTGAGGTCCCCCCAGGTGAAGGAGCCGTAGGTCAGCCTCCCAGCATCACCTGTCCTACTTCTGTGCACCCCACCTGGTCCCCTCGGAAATTATGACATTCCTCGTTCTCTTGTTTACTTCTCCTCCCTGCTCTGGAAGCCCCAGGAGGGTGGGCCGGCTTGGTCACCACTGGGTCCCCGCGCCCAGAACGGCACACAGGCGGTGCCCAATTATTAATAATAACCACCCGACAAATGAAGGAGAGGAGAGCTCCCAGCCCCGCCCACACAGCCGTCAATCATCATCGCCATCCCCGTCCAGTGGGGAAACCGAGGCCCAGAGAGAAGTAGCGACTGTCCCAGGTCACCTGGCCGAGCCAGGCCTCTGTCCCCGCGCGAGGCCACTCACCGCCTGGCCATGCCCACCGCCCGTGGACCGGCCCAGCCAGTCCCCATTCTGGCCCTGGTCGCATGCCGCCTAATGAGGGCCTTGGGAGCCAGATGAAAGCGGCAGGGAGGGCAGGGGGTGATTATCTGCCCTAATGACGGTGATTCAGGGGCCAGCGATTACCGGCCCCCTCCCCAGCTCCCTGGGCTCTCCTCCCTCCTCCCTGCTTCTCCTGTTGCCACCAGCATTCCACACGCGCTTATGGAGTGCCTACTGTTTGCTGGGTGGGGCCCTGGGGACACAGTCGGGCAGAAGGGACGCGACTTCAGCTCCATGAATGAGGTCCTGGCACTGCGGCGCCCGGCTCCACCACCCACCGTCGGTGCGATCCTGGGCGGGTCACTTCCTCTCTCTGTCCCTCAGTTTCCTCATCTGCCAGATGGGTGTCTTTGGTTTTGCGGCGTTGGGGCTCCAGAGTTCAAGCCCTCCTCCGCCCTCGGCCCCCAAGCAACCGGCCCGCGCAGCCCTCCCTGGAGACTCACTGTCCGGGCCGTGGCGCCAGCGGGTGCCCCGCACACGGCCCGCGGGGTCCACGCGCAGGAAGAAGTGCGTGGAGGAGAAGAGGCGCCGCCAGCGCACGTCGCCCTCCAGGTGTGGGTAGCTGCGCGCCCTGCGCGGCGCGCTCGCGCTCGGAGTCCCCGCGGCGCCCGGCTCCCGCGCCAGCAGCAGCCAGGCCAGGCCCAGCCACAGGCGGCGGGGCATGGCCCGCGCCCCGCTCGCCGCACGCTCTCGCCTCCCCGAGCGGCCGCGGCTCTGCCATCGCGCGGGGCCCACGGGGGGCGGGGCCGGGGCGGAACGGCGGCCGGGCCGGCCAATGGGGCGTCGGGACTGGCCAATCACGGCCGGGGGCGGGGTCTGGCGCCGGGGGGCGGGGCCCACTCTGCTTCCCGCGGCCTCTGCACGTGTTCGCCCCGTGGGGCGGGTCCCCGAGTCCCCGAACCCCCCCAGTCGCTGGCATGTCCGGACCGGGGGAGGCGGGGCTGCTGCGGTGGCTGCGGGGGAAAGAGGCGGGCTTCAGAGACCCGGAGGGAGACACGGACACAAAGACCACAGACACAGAGACAGAGACCAGAGACACAGAGACAGACACAGAGCTAGAGACCAGAGACAGAGACAAGAGACAGAGACAAGAGACACAAGATAGAGACAAGGGAGAATGAGACCAGAGAGACTGAGATATAGAGGCTGTGAGATGCAGAGACAAGGAGAGGCAGGGAGAAGCTGTACGAGACAGAGACTGAGAGACAGAGACAGCAACAGGGAGAGACAGAAACTGGAGAGATTGAAGGGCAGACAGAGACAGAGGCTACAGGGAGCCACAGGGACTAAGTCAGAGAGAGACTGCGAGACACAAGGACAGGGAGACATGCGAGAGACAGAGACATGGGGATGCACAGGGATTGAGAGGGAAGGTTCTGGCACGTGCATCAGTCCCTGCCAGCTGGGCCCCAGGACTGGGCATGCCCAGGTGGGACTCAACGCCCCCTCCGAATGGAGCTTCCTGGGGGCAGGGGGCTTCGTGGCAGGGGAGGGCGTGGGGACGTGTGTTTGGGCAGGTGGGTGGGAGGCAGCTGTGGGGACGATGGCCACACAGGCATGTTGATGGGCTTCTGGTGGGACACCCAGACTCCAGTGCCCACCAGTGCTGCACCAGAGGCCGCAACAATGGGCCAGCCCCATTCACACCCACTCCTATTCCCCACTTACAGCCACACCCCAGGCCCCACCGGGAACCTCCCAGCAAGGCAGCTGGCCCCACCCCTCACCTGCCCACCCCATGCCCTGGGCTCCGGGTGACCTTCACAGACTCAGAGCCCGGAGGAATCATTGACAGGTGGGGAAACCGAGGCCCAGAGAGGAGCAACGACTTCCATTGTGGGAACACAAGGCACAGCTCTGATTCCAGTCCCTGCCTTCTGCTCCCAACAGCCCAACCCTGCAGCCGCGGCCCCAGGTGGCACCTTTAAATAGCACCAGGGTGAAGACATGGTGACCAGCCTGCCCTCACCGGGAGCCTGCTGGAGGGACAACCGGTCCGGCCGGATGCCAGGATGCTTTCGTGGTGGCTCAGGGATTCCCCGACTCTCTCTTCCTGGCCCAGGCGGGTCACACGGTGGGTGTGGCAGGTGCCCCAGTCTCAGGACCCCATGACTGCCTCAGTTTCTCCTTTGTAAAATGGGCCAGTAAAGGAATGTCTGGAAGGAAAATGACAATCCACATAACATGCTGGCCAGACAGCACAGCATGTGGACACTGGGTAAGTATCCTCCACCTTCTTGGCCAGCTGCAAATGCAGGTCTTCCCACCCTAGAGTGACCCCGCAAGAAGGATATTCTGGGCGCCTGTGTGAGAACATGGGACGCACACTCGGGAAGCCGAGTTTGTTTAATAACAGCTTTATTGCAATATAATTCGCATACCGTACAATTCACCCATTTAAAGTGTACAATTCAATGTTTTTAGTACATTCGCCAAGTTGTGCAACCATCACCACTGTCTCTTTCCAGAACATTTTCATCACTTCCAAAGGAAGCCCCGTCCCTGTCAGCAGTCACTTCCCAGCCCCTGGGGACCACGAATCCACATCCTGTCTCCGTGGATCTGCCTTTTCTGGACATTTCATATAAACGGAGTCTCACACTGTGTCCTTCTTTATCTGGCGTCTCTCACTGAGCACGATGTCCTCAAGGTCCCTCCACGCTGTAGCCTGTGTCAGAGCCTTGTCCCTTTTCGTGGCTGAGTGATATTCCAGTGTGTGGATGGACCACGTTGCATGTATCCACTCATCATTGATGGATTGTTTTCGCTTTTTGGCTGTTGTGAATAATGGTGCTGCGAACATTGCACACAGTGTCTGTGTGGACGTATGTTTTTATTTCTCTTGGGCACACACCTAGGAGTGGAGTTGCTGGGTCACACGGTAACTGCATGTTTAGCTTTCTGAGGAATTGCCAAACTGTTTCCACAGTGACTACACCATTTCTTGTTCCCATGAGCAACACACGAGTCTTCTAATTTCTCCACATTTTTGCCAACATTTGTGACTGTACGTTGTTTTGATTAGAGCCATGCTAGTGGGGTTAAAGTAGTACATCACTGTGGTTTCTCGAAAGACTTAAAGCCTATAGAAAAGCCATAAGGGCCAGGCGTGGTGGCTCACGCCTGTAATCCTAGCACTCTGGGAGGCTGAGGCGGGCGGATCGTTTGAGCTCAGGAGTTTGAGACCAGCCTGAGCAAGAGAGAGACCCCGTCTCTACTAAAAATAGAAAGAAATTAGCTGGACAAGTAAAAATATATATATATAAAAAATTAGCCGGGCGTGGTGGCGCATGCCTGTAGTCCCAGCTACTTGGGAGGCTGAGGCAGGAGGATCGCTTGAGCCCAGGAGTTTGAGGTTGCTGTGAGCTATGTTGATGCCACGGCACTCTAGCCCGGGCAAAAGAGTGAGACTCTGTCTCAAAAAAAAAAAAAAAAAAAAAGAAAAGTCGTAAGAATGGTGCAATGAACACCTGTATACCCTGTTCCTGGATTCCTCGATTCTATATTCTTCCTGCCCTCTGTCAGCAGGAGAATCAGTAAATGCACAGCAGGAAATTCACACAGTGGAATGTTCCACCGCTGTGAAAAAGACTGAACCCTTGAAACACACGAGTTGGATGAATCTCTCAAAAATGATGCTGAGTTAAAACAGCCAGACACAAAAGAAGTCCATGTATGTGTCATTCTAGGACAGGCAAAATCAACCTATGGTGTGAGACGTCAAGACAGGGCGCTACCCTTTGGGGGCCAGTGGCCAGGAGGGGGCAGGAGGGGGCTTTGGGGACTGGCAGGTTCCGTTCCTGTTCTTTGGAACGCCTTTTCCTAGGTGTGTTTGGTTTGTGAACAGTAACTGGGCTGTATTCTCAATGTGTGCACTGCTCCACAGGCATGTTAGACCTGAAACAGCACACGCACGCAATCTTTTTATGTACGGGATATTCGAGACTGAGCCACAACCGTGGTGCCGCTTCCCTCTAGGAGAGATGCGAGAGATGCACGAGCACAGCGAAGTCCTTCTCCTCGTAACGAAGCTGCAAATTAATCTACCATCTATGCTCAGACATTCCCTGATGTCCCCTTTAATAGCTTTCTTTTTTCCTGAAAAAATCAGGGCTGGGCTCATGCTGTGCGTTCAGCAGTCTCTTCCTCTCTGTATTTAGCCTCTGTGGTTGGCCCCAAGGATATGACCACATCCTAATCCCCAGAACCTGCAAAGTTCGCCTCATTTGGAAAAAAATGAGTCTCTTTCTTTTTCTTTTTTTGAGACAGAGTCTGGCTCTGTTGCCCTGAGTAGAGTGCCGTGGTGTCAGCCTAGTTCACAGCAACCTCAAACTCCTGCGCTCAAGCTATCCTTCTGCCTCAGCCTCCCAGAGTGCTGGGATTACAGGCATGCGCCACCACGCCCGGCAAGTCTTGATAGATGCAGTTAAGATCTTTGAGAGGTTATCCTGATGGGTTCTAAATATGGTGACCAGTGTTCTCGTGAGAGAGACAGGTAGCTTTGGCACAGACACAGAGGAGGTGATGTGACCACACAGAGACTAGAGTGACACGGCCACAAGCAAAGGAAGCCTGGAGCCCCCAGGAGCTGGGAGAGGCAGGATGACCCTCCCCTGGAGCCATGGGAGGGAGCACAGTCCTGACGACACCTTTATTTCAGCCCCGTGAAATTGATTTTAGACTTCTATTCTCCAGAAATATGAGAAAATGAATTTCTGTTGTTTTAAGGCATCGAGTTTGTGGTCATTTGTCCCAGCGGCCACAGGAACCTAATAACCTTTCCCTTCATCTAATGATTCCTGACTTTCTTTGCCCATTTTAAAATATGGACACTTCTAAAGTCTCATAGAGCGTCCACAACCCAGACCCATCTGAACGCCTGGTGGCTGGATTTGGACCCAATGTTTTGGGTGAGAAGCCAGCCTAGGTGACATAAAACTAGACGACAGTTTCAGAAACGGAGTGTTGCCTGAATTCCAGCCTCTTAGCACTGTACTGTTCATTTTAACTACATCTGTCTCCACCAGTCTCGCATGTTATTAATATTTTTCTTGCTTACGTTTTACAAGGAAACTTAGCGTCACCGTCAGAAGTGGAAAACCAGTGCCATACGCTGACGAGTTGACAGTAAGCCATAAAAAGAAATACAAAGGAGAAAGAGGAATGTGAGAACTCTGAGATCAATATAATCACAGCCAGGACATAGAGACTGGTGTTAAATACGGGGGCGGCGGGGGGAGCCGCTAGGTGAGGCTTCCTAGGGGACATCAGCAGAAGGTTTGAACAGGAATTGAAAGGAGAATGACTTTCTTACCGATAAGATTCAGGAACCTGGCTCTCGGGGAAATTCTGGTTCAGGGAGTCTGATGTCTCAGGAAATCAACATAAGAGGAAACCGAGGTATGAGGAATGGTGGGCGAAAGAATTCAGAAGTCTTGGTTTCCACCCAGGTTCCTGGCTCTGTCAGAATCAGGGATTTGAGGGGGCATCTCTAGGTCTTAGGGGACCAGGCCCAGCTGATTCAGCCCCTCGGGCCAGGAAGCTGACCCCAGGAGTGAGTCAGGTCTGAGGTCACAGCCCCCGGGGGCGTCTGGGGTGGGCTGAGGCAGGTTAGGGAGGATGCTGCTATCTGCCGAAAACATTCCCCGCCAGTGGCATCACCGTGCCCAGACCCGCGTGGGCAGCTGCATCTGGAATGTGCTGTTAAGAGGCTGCCGGGCCCGGGTGGTTGCACCTACCAGAGCACAGGTCCAGTCCTCACTCTGGCCCGATGGGGAAACCAAAGTCCAAGCATTTGGGGACCGAAGGCAACTTGCGTGGGGGCCCCTTAGCCGCTCCAGCTTCCTCTCCCCCACCCCACTCTGCTCAAGTTCCTCCAACTATCCCGACACATGTTCCTGCCTCTGGGCCTTTGTACTTGCTTACATCTGCCTGGAGCGTGGTTACTCCAGATGTTCCTAGTCTCCTCCGTCACGTGTCAGTTGGCTCCAGACCAGGCCTCAGTTTCCCCAGCAGAATGGTCGGTGGGCATGCCTTCCACGTTTGATTCTAAAGCTCTGGCCTTGCCTGCTCCTGAGCGGAATCACCCGGAGGCCAGGGATGGATCCAGACTCCCTGCTCCATTCTGCCTCTTTCCTGGGGGGCCTGGGGTTAGTGGGTGAGGAAGATGTCCAGGAAACACGTCGCCCCAGATCCCCTTGGCTTTTCCGCTGGGAGTCACACAGACTTGGGGTTTCCTTCCAATTTCCCTAGTATCATGCTGTGTGTCTTTGAGCAACTCGGTCGACCTCTCTGAACCTCGCTTCCTCCACAATAAACTGGTGGTAGTAATTGTTTCCACCCCAAAGTCGTCATTCGATCAATGAAGACTGTGGACAGGAATCTCTAAATTGCAGAACGCTGTGAATTATTAGGTGAATATTCCTTAAAAAAAAAAAATTCCGGGTTCCAAGTCCTCCCAAAGACCGCCTTCGCGTCAGTTGCTCTGTCCCGCCCCTCCTTGAGGACTGAGAGAAGAACCAATCAGAGGGCTCCACCGGCGCATGCCCTGCAGCCACCCGGGCCCTCTGCCCCCTGGGAATTGTGGTTCCGGTGGCGCACATCCGGCAGGGACGTCCCTTCGCATGCGCCGTCAGCCGGGGAACTACAACTCCCGTCAGGCGGCGCGAGCGCATGCGCAGATTTGGCGGGCTGTGGCAGCGGCTCAGGGTTCCGCGTGCGGTATGTCGGCGCTACGCTGGGGCCGCGGCGCGGCGGGGCTCGGGAGAGTCCTGCAGTCCTGCGGACGCCGCGGCCTCCCAACAGAGGAAGGTAACGCAAGGGAACGGCCCAGGGACGACGTCGCGGCCGCCGCTCCTTCCCCCGCGGCCGTGACCTTTGGTTCTTGGCGCCCCTGGGATCCAGCTACCCCCGACCTTTGCCCTTTGTATGTCTGAGGACCCCACTGGCGCGGCCCCGCTTTCACTCGCCTTCGCCCTGCTCTCCTGACGGGGATCAACAGGCCACTTTGACCTTTGACTCTTGGTTTCTTATAGAGTGTCCTGATCTCATGTTTGGGACTTAGGGTTCTTGACCTTTGAACCCTCTGTACTTTAGTTGTCCTCTACCCTGCGCCCTAATTTTCGCAGCGTGTGGAGCCCCTTCCCCCTTTGATCTTTTGGTTTCTTTCCGATGAAAGACCCAGGACAACGGAGTTTCCGCTGAAGTTAGGGCTTCTCTGCCCTTTGACCCTGCGATTTCCGTCCATGTGAAGACCCCCTCCTCAGCCCCTCTGCCTCCCGGCCCCCTTCAGCCTCCCTCGTCTCTCCCACAGGGACCCTCGGTGTTGGCCTGGGCCCCAGGAGGAGCTCTTCCGCCAGCCCCCATGAGAAAGACCTCCGGAAGGACTGGGGCCACGTGGAGCTGCTGGAGGGTGAGCCACACCCCCCTCCCTGTGACCCCAACAGAAGGGAGTGGCTCCTTGTGGTGTGGAGAGGAAACTGAGGCTGGGACCGTATCAGCAGTGCCTGCCTCTCTAGTGGTTCTGAGGAGAGGCTGAAGGGATGACAGAGAGCGTTTGGCATTGCTCAGCGAGTTCCGTGTCCCCTGCACAGCTGCTGGGCCCCTGTCCTGTGCCAGGGGGTTCTGGGAGCTCTCATAATCCCCCCTTCCCAGAACCCACCAGCTGCTCCCGATTCCCAGGGGGAGCGTTGAGGCCCACAGTTCTGTCTGGAGAGACTCCCAAGGCCGTGAGAGGCCGCACATGCAGAGCCAGAATTTGAACCCTGAAATGACGTGTTTTCCTGTCTCAGTTCTCGAGTTGGGCACCTAATGGAGTCCAGTAGATGGCCCAGGCGTGAGTGGTCCCAGACCTCCAGCCTAGCCTGGCTGGCGGTGTCGTAGGGAGGTGGGGGCATCTCTGTGCTTCCGCACCACCCTGTCCATGTCTCGGGTTCACCCCCCAACACCCCGTGTCCCACAGCTGGCGGGGGCGGGGAGGAGGGGAGCCTTTAAAAAGGACGAATTATTTTAGAGACATCGTCTAGCTCTGTCACCTAGGCTGGAGTGCAGTGGCATCATCACAGCTCACTGCAGCCTCCAACCCCTGGGCTCAAGCGATCCTCCTGCCTCAACCTCCCGAGTAGCTGAGACCACAGGTGTGACCACGATGCCCAGCTTGATGCCTCGATGCCTTTCCTTCTCATTTAGCTCATCCCACAAACAAGGGTCCTTTCTGTGGTTCGTTTAGTGCCCTGCGTTTCCCGTCTTTGTGGGTTTTTTTGGTTGGTGATTTTGCTGTTTGAAGTGGCCCCCGTGTGTAGGGCAGTGATGCCCCTTAGGTGAGCTTCGTTCAGGCCTGAGTGAACTGTGGGCTGTGAGTTCGATGGTAATAAATCAGCAGTAGGTTTTCAATAAGGTGTCGACAAAAACACGTAAAACAGAGTTATGTACTTATTGGTTGAGAAAAACGTGACCTTAGGCCACAGGACCTTAACCCTGTATTTCCCCTAGGAGCAGGGTTCAGTTTGCACTGACTCTGTGTCAGCAGCGACTTTGCAGGTCATAACCAGCATAAATACCCAGAGTTGAGCGTGTGTGGAATGCTGCGCAGGAAGAGGGCAGGAGGGAGGGCTGTGAACTCTCAGGTGCTTATTGAGACTGGAAATCAGCAGTGCACAGTCAGGGTGGCACGTGTAAAGGCCCTGAGGTGGGACCGTGAAGACAAAAGGGCTGGCGCCAGCAAGCAAGAGAACAGGGGGAGGTGAGGGTGGGGAGGTGACAGGTCACCTGGATGGATTTCGAAGGTAGAGCCCAGAGCAAGTGAGGACAAGTGAGATGTGGAGGGAGAGAGAGTTGTCGGCCACCCTGGGGCTCTTGGCCTGAGCACCTGGGGGGACAGAGCTGCCAGTGATTGGGGAGACGTGGAGGAGTAGGTTTTGGGGCCGCCAGAGCTCGTGTGGGATTCTGAGTGTCTAGAGGCGTGGGTGGAGTGCAGAGAAGGTGGTGGGGCGTGTGTGTCTGGAAGTCGGGACAGTGGCTGGCAGGGAGACACGTTAGGCAGTTGCCAGTAGGTCCGTGGGGTTGAGGCCTCACGACCAGGGAAGATCAGCTGCCTCCACCTCCTGGCCCAGCACAGGGTCCCTCTGACACCCTCACCCTTTGCCCCTGCACAGTGCTCGAGGCGCGGGTGCGGCAGCTGCAGGCTGAGAGTGTGTCGGAGGTGACCGTCAACAAGGTGGATGTGGCTCGGCTCCCAGAACGCGGCGGTGGGGGCGGCAACTTCCAGCCACCCAGGAAGGCCCAGATGGGGGCCAAGGGTGCTGCCCCTCAGCACTTTGGCCGCTGGGCAGCGAAACTGGACAAGGAGAAGCAGACCATGCAGAAACGCAAGCAGCGGCTGGAGGTGAAGCTGCAGGTGCGGGCCCAGAGGCTGGCCCAGAAGCTGGCCGAGAAGCTGAAGCCCAAGCCCCTGCAGATGGAGCCCCGGCTGGTGAGCGGGCAGCTAGCTGACTCCCTGCGGTGTGGGGCGCAGGGGACCCCCTTGGAGGAACAGCTGGCCCAGGCACTGCAGGAGGCCCCTCGGAAGCTGAGCCTCAAAGAGGAGCAGGCCCTGGCAGACAGGGAGGTGGAGGCACAGCTCACCGGTCAGCAGCAGACACTCCTGGCCTTCTTTGAGTGTTGCCTGCTCACTGACCACCTGCACCTTGCCCACCACGTGCTGGTGGCCCACCACGGCAATCCCCGCAAGCAGCAGCTGCTCACGCTCGCCATGTACAACACCATCATGCTCGGCTGGGCTCGACAGGTGAGCAGCAGCCAGGGGAATGGGCCACCC